TTTGGACTTTTATCCCCCCCCCCCCAAACGTCCTCCCACATTGCCATACATATAATAGTAACTTGAGTTATATACGCTTTTGCATGTCAAAAACTTATTTTTGCAGACCGCTGGGGAGAGCCAAACAAAAGACCTAGTTGTGAGGAAACTGCCAACACTCACTATAATAGTAAAGTCACCTTTCAGTACATATATCTATATTCAATACATAATCAAAAGAATTTCTCTCAAAAAGGTGAAGAATTTCCGTTGCTTTCCTTTTGCTTCCCTCGTGAGCCGCACACTTCACTCCACGACTGATGACTCGTGACATATGCATGATTTTTTTTTCTAAACGATGTCAACATTTGAAGTGAATAAATGAATAAATGATCATTATAATGACATTAGAAAATGACTTTGTTTACCCAAAAAATGAATAGAGTTGAATTTATACGTAGTTCTAAAGATACTTAGTATAACTTGGTACAAATCGAAAAAATAAGTAGAAATATATCGAATATTGACTGTAAAAAAGGAATGAAATACAAACCAAATTAAGTAGAGAATGATTTATAAACAAGCAAGATGAACCAATGTCCTAAGCCCCAAAAAAGGATAATGTTTACTATATATGTGTAAATCTCAATAACTTCTGAAATGTGAGAGTGTATTGATGTCTGAATGTCGAATATTGAATGTCCTTTACAGAAATGATAGCCACTCTTCATATAGTGGAGTAATCCTACTTTGGATATAATTAAAAATACATAGTGGGGATCCCATGATAGATTAGTTAATTAACTTTTCCTTAATTTCAACTGAGATTCTCTCCCCTAATGCGGCTACAACGACTCTTTGTCTCTTAGCTCGATCTTGGTTGGTCTTGGATCTCGAGCTCGATGTTGACTCGACCTCAATATTGGCCGATCTCGATATTGACTCGAGCTCGATATCGATTCGAGCTCGGTATTAATCGGTCCCTAACTCTTGAGCTCGATAATCTGGCTTCAGATCTTATCTTGATATTACGGTGACGACCCTCGGTCCATCATGTTCCAATCTCGACTAATTACATGAAGGTCAAAACCGGTTTTGACCGTATACAGATAGTCCCCTCGTTTCTCGGAAGGAATGTGGCGAGAAATGATATGATTTTTCGAACTCCAACTAAGTGGGCAATAACATCAGTGATAGGCCTGATTATGACGTATGCGGCAAACGTCCCATCGGTTCAGTTACCAAGACATTAAATATTTGTCAGTCGTTGGTCGGCCACAACCATTTCGAACCGTCATTAGCAGGCCTATCAATATTCAAACTTTTGTTCACATCCAAACTTTTTATTCAAAAGTTTTTTCTCTACTCTTGTATCTTCTTCAAAAATCCCTCTGCTTCATATACTTTAGCATCACAAACAAACCTAATTTCTTTCCTTTATTCATCAATGGCCAAAACCTCCAAAACGGTGCCGCAGAAAAAGGCCGCTTTTTCATCGTGGCCTACCAGCGGTGAGGATGCGGCGGAGCCCCGCCCTGAGGAGTTCGTTCCGGTAGGGTGCTCGACTGCCATTGATTTCAAAGTTGAAAAACCTTCTTAGGTACCGGGCCGATAAGAGCCGGTCTCGAGGTACCAGTGTTCAATCACCGAAATTTTTTTTGAAAAGGTAAAAAAGGAATGCAACTGGGGCGACAAGCACGTGGTAGTCCCATCGCCCGAAAAATCAATTACTACCCACGTGGAAAGGTTCTTAAGTGTCTATACTTACCCTTTTACGTTGGGTCTATTAGATCACGTCATCGTCATTTTTTGTAAAAGATACGACGTGACCCTTGGCCAAATTCATCCTTCATTTTGGAGAATAGTAATTCTTCTCCGATTCTTCTCAAGCAAAATCGAGGGGTGTCCTTTCACCCTCGATCAACTTATGCACCTTTATAGTCCCCGACTCTATCGAGGAGGGCTGATCAAGCTAGCTCGCCGAGCCACTAAAGCGTCGTTCTCGAGTATGGACAAAACTCGTGATCGAGGTTGGATGGGTCAGTTTGTTCGAGTCAAAACCTCAGACATGATTTCTGCCGCTGACATGCCGTTTCCTGAGAAATGGAATATGAGCCATGAGTATTTACGTCCTTTCGAGCATTTTAATTTAGGACTGCCTTTCATTTTCTTAATCCACTCTTCTTTGATCTCCCTTTCTCCTGACGTAAGAAAGTGACACAGGCTTGGCCAGCTTTTTTCAAACTTGACGGTCAAGTTCCCTGCTACTTCCGTAAATATTTATTTTCTGTTACAGTTGTGGCTCAGATGTCGGAAACGATCCCGGATCTTAAACAATCGGTTGAAGATCTCGTGCTACAGAGACCGTATTCTGAGCGTGCTTGGGTAGAACTATCAAAGGGTCGATGGGAGGCCTGTAGTCATGGTAAGTCTCTTTCTCAGTTTGTTTGTAGCTCGATCTCCTTCACTTACTTACCCTTATTTCTTCCTTTGTAGGACTCGGGAAAGATGTTGTTATGAGGCCCCCATCTGGTGATGAAGAGGTCCCTGCCCCGAAGCAGGTTAGAGAGAGGAAAAGAAAAGATGCACCGAGTTCCTCGGTCTTGGACAAGAAAAACCCGGTAAATTGAACTCGCAAACCCAAGGAGGGATCCGATATCATGCCTTTGGACTCGATCCGTCGATTAAGATACGAGCCCGAATAAGAAAAGGAGTTAGCCTGTGTGCGGGCCAATGTTGTGATACAACAATCCTCCAAATTGGCGAAGGTTAACAAGGGAGTTCTGGCCGTGATTCCCGAACAAGGAAAAGCCGAGAATATTTGATCTCAAGCTGAGATGGTCGAGGGAGAGACCGAGGGCAGGACATCTCGGCCAGAAGATATCTCGAGGGACGAGCTCGGGATAGTTGATATTACTGGATCCCCTCAGATATCGGATGCTATGATCCGTAAGGCCAACATGTTGGAAGGTCGTTCCTATGAGGGCATTCAAGAGTCGACCGATATCCATGATTTTCTGGATGGGATCGAGTCAGCTGCCTCGAAGGAAGTTATCGGGTTTGATGGATTACCTATACCAAAGAAAACATCATGGTCAGGCTCTGCCGGGTCTTCATCAGTTCTGAAACTAGTGGACCGATTCCCGGCCCTAAGTGTTGATCCCGATCGTAGGCATAGGGTAGTGCTCTCCGTCCCGGAAGATACCCGAATTTTCTCTCCCCCCGTGGAGGTTGTCAGTTATCTTCGGTCCTTGGTGACCGAAGAGGATCAATCAGTGATGAATGCGGTAGGACTCACTTGCCTTTTCAACAAGGCCTAGCATACTTTGAATCGGGTAACTTCGATGGCATCTTTGTTGTTTCTCTTATATTTAGATATGTAATTAATTCTAACATTTTTCCTATGTTTGTAGGCTTCGGTGCTGCATCACGAGGCCTTCCACCGAATCTG